AGGTCGATAATCAAAGTCTTAGAAACTCCATTTAATTAAGAAACAAAAGTCACCTATGTTTTTTTTTTCCTTTGTAAATAATAAAATGTTTTTTAGTGCAACAAACTTGAAGATTTAAGGGAAGAAGGCTTAGCTAGGTTGATGTTGGAGTCGAAAAAAAGTTTTTCTTTTTAATATATATATTTTGGTAGATTTGTTATTATTTTATGATTGCCCCATTGGGTAATAAATGTGTAGCCATGGAATGAGATCAGACGACAGCCATAGCAGAGAGGAATCGAACGAGAAGATCTTCACTCAGACAAAGCTTCCATTTTTAACCCAACGGTAGAAATTGAAGATCTAATTAGCAGGCAGCAGCAGCAGCAGCATTCAATGGTCAAAGTCCGCCAAATTGATACAGAAGGAGCACCAGGGCGGCCCCCGAGACCCACCAACTAGAGAGCACAGCTTCGCTTCGCTTCTGGTTGCGTCTTCAAGAACGAACCCGAGCCATGGCCTCTTTTTCATCCACTCACTGAATTAATATTTGTTTCTTTCATTTTTCTTCCTCAAAATGGATTTTCGACCACGTGTCCTCCCCTCGATTTCCCCCTTTCCCTACCCATTTAGATTTACCCTCTTTCTTTGACCTAATCGATTCCGTTTCCGTGTTGAGCTTCGACTTCAGCTCTATCCTCGCCGGGGCACAGGGGAAGAGATCCCGATTCCTCACAATCTGGGCTTGATCTATTGCTGATTCTGGAGTTTACTTTCCGGAAGATGGTGGCCAAGGGTTCGCCGGACTGGCTTCCCTCCGGCTGGACCGTGCAGTATAAAGTCCAGAAGACGGGCCGCAAAATTAGGGTAAGGCTAATTTTTTCAGTTCTTGCTATTGGGGGTTTTCGTTGGATTTCAGTGGTATTCCTATTTTGTGTGTTCTTCCTGGGTGTAGCTGAAGCTTGTGAGTTTTAGGTCGGATGCTATCTTGGTATCTAGTTTTTGAATGTATATGTGCCCACTCTTCTTGGTTTTTTGATTGAACTGCTGGTATTGAATCTACAAGGGTTAGTTTTTGTTCCATATTCTGATTGCGTTATGGATTTAGTGTTCTAGATGTTCAACCCTACAGAAGAAAGGGCATTCCACCAGTACTAGGTTAGCATAGTGTTTGCTATGCCAATTTCTCTGTTTTGATAAATTTCAAGTTGAGAAAGGAAATGAAAAATCCCTCAATTGTTTTTTGAAATGATGTCTTATTTCTGCACTTGTCTAGTTCTATAAGCACTGGTGGCATGATGAACATATAATTCTCAGCCAACGTATGCACTCTGACTAATATTATGAAATAGTTGTTTGATTCTACAATATTTGATATTGGGAACTCTTGGTATATTTGATATCCTAACTACGTATTTTGAATATATGATCTCAAAGATTTTTGTGTTTACTGCTTCCCCCACTGACATGGGCCAATCCACCTGGTTCACATGGAATGAATTATTGATTTAGGGAACAATTCAAATTACGGTATTGCAAGTTTGCAACAATTTTATTCACATCACAAAATCTTTCTTCTCACATTTTTAGACTTAATTCGGGGTTTTGTAGTTCTATATGAACTTAGAGAGTGGGAAAAGCTTCCTTAATAAGGATGATGTTATTGGCTACATTAAAAGCATTCAGTCTCAGAAACCTCAATCAACTCCAAGGCGCACCAAAACTCAGTCAGGAAATAGTCCTGTGCAAGTGAGTTTGACTCCCGAACATTTTTATCTTCAACAAATTCCATTTTATTTAAGATGGTTTTATTTTTCACTAGTATAGCTCATCGTGAAAACAAGTGAACGCCCCGAATGGTTGCCTGATGGCTGGAAAGTGGAGTCAAGAACACGGATGAGTGGTTCCAATGTTGGAGGTGTTTACAAGGTATTATATGTGTGCTTAATCTGTTGTCTTGAATCACAATTTAATTCTGTTATGTAGCTTTCTAATTCTGTTGCTTTTTTCCCAACATATCCAAATGGCATATGCATACTTAGTGAATCACCCGTTCTACTAATTCTGCGCCTATGGTTAGTTAGTTTTCGTGGGATGAATTAAATGTTACATGTAATGTAATTAAACAACTATTCCTTATTGCATTAGCAGAATGGTATTTTGTGAATTGCAATTCTTGCACAAGATAACAAGTTAACAACCCACAATTTGGAAATTGAAAGGGAAAAGAGAAAGAGGAAAATCACAAAACTGTTCATTCCCTTGTTGGTCACGATACTCCCCACTCACACACAAAATAACTAAACAAGTATAAACTTTTTTTAAATTACTCGAGAACAGAGATCACATTTTTCTTCTGGTTTTGTTACATGCAAGCAAACATACAAACGTCATCAATGTTGACATTTTGAAGTGGATTCTTCATTGAGTTCTTACATACCATTTGCTTGTTGCAGTGTTACATTGATCCAGTTACAGGGAACAGATTTTATTCTAAGCCAGAGGTGTTTAGATATCTCAGAACTGTGAAGAACACATCGTGCACGTTGAAGGAGAGGAGGACCAGCAAAAACGTGAACTCTAGAAGCAAAGTTTGTTTCCCTACCGATATATATAAATATATTTTTTCCAATTTTTCTGTTTCTTTTTCCTTTCCCCTAATTTTTTTCTTCTTAGAAAAATAACTTGTAGATACGTCAAGTGGGTAATGAAGGAAAATGATATTAAGAATAAGATACGTTGGACTTGTAAAAATTTTAGTTTAGCTCAGGGATGCACGAGAGAGATTATACTGGTTTTCAATGTGAACATTATATTCTTCACTATGAACCTGGGCATCAATCTAATGCTGGAATTTGTAACAAAACTCAAAACAACTTGTTTAGTGTGCAGTTTTCCTGTGCGCTTGCACCTTATTTCTCATCATAACACCACGAGAATGTGCTCTGAACAAAAAGGTCATATGCTTTAGAATCAGGAATGTCTCAATATGGAAGCTAACACCTTGTTCGTCATCTTTTAATCCTGTAGCAACCACTGAGAGATGTTATGAGAAAAGCTCAGAAAATAGAATAATCACAATTTTGAGCTTATAAGATTTGAGATTCTACATGATGGTATTTATAAGATTTGAATGAAACCTACAACGGCTGTAAAATCGATTCTTTAACCGACCAAAAGGTATGGAAATAATCAAACTGTCTTTAGGAGACTCTGAAAGCCTCTTGCATAAATTTGCTTCTTGAGCTGACTTGTGAAATACTTTATGCTATTTGCTTATTGAGTTATGTAGCTGATATTCATATGTACTCTAGGTTGTTATCGAGCATTATAAAGATGAAGATTTGCCGCCTGGATGGATAAAGGAAATCAAGATCAAAGAAAAAGCAGATGGCATTAGGAAAGACCCGGTATGAGCTTCTTCCTTGTGCCTATCCATCCCCATGTGTTTTGATTGTCTTCGTTCCAATTTTCATTCATCTGCACTGTCAATATGTAGTCCCTCTCTTGGTTATATCCAACCTTTTCTTTCTTTCTTTCTTTTTTTTGATAAGAAGCCTGGTTATATCCAACCCTATTACTGGCTATCTGCTACAGTTTTACATAGATCCGAAAACTGGATATGTATTCCGCTCCAAGAAGGATGTTTTACGCTATCTCGAGACTGGAAAGATCAGCAGACATGCATTTAAACCAAAGGAAGGGGGCGATAATGATCAAGAGTTGATTACCAACAAAATATCAGTAAGTCCATCCCTTGTTAGACTCATGTAGGAAATGCTCTAATAGCATCGCTTTCGCATTTAGTTCAGTTTCTAAATTTTGTCCTGATTCAGTCATCAATATGTATCTCCATTATGATGTCACTGTCGCATGTTGCACTATTACAGCATGTTTTAAATCCTCCTTTGTTAGTCCTAGTATTTTATCCTATGTTTTTCAATTAAACTATTGTAAATTTATGCTTTTGGTATATTAGAAAACGTCTGAAGGAGTTCAAAATTAGAGACGTTGAACTGGGAATCTTCTGTGGAAGGCAAGCTGCATGATGTTAGCATGGAATACATTATTGCTTGTTTTTTTTCCATAATTAAATTTTATATCACATTCAGATCTGTAGATACAACATTAGCAAGTATGCTGTAATTTTTGAGGAAACTGAAAACCTGATTGAAAGCCCAAATAACCCATTAATGGAAAGATTGATAGCAAAATGAGCCCAAATTACGACAGGTTATTTTAGCAACAATGATTCAGTCGTTTTTAGCTTTGCTTCAATGGTTTCTAATGAGGATGGTCTTTGAACTCTGAATTTTTGCTTGCTCCTATTTTAGCGACGCTCCACCGCTAAAGGACTGAAATTGGCACCCCCTGCAGCAACGCCACAACCTTCTGCAGGTAGAATATTTGTAGAAGGCTAACACTTGCTGCTTCTTATCGATTAACCCGTATACTGGAACTGTATCCTTGAGGATTTAATGTGGAATGGTTGTTGTAGGAGAGGAATTGCCAGTAGACAGCAGTTCAGAACTTCCTGGAGACCAAATTCTACAGCCGGGGCGACGTGTGAACGTGTCTACTGAACCGAAAGATGCATCTGTTCCTCCAGTTGAAACTGTTCAAGAGATTGTTTCATCACGAAAAGTGGTCGGGGAGTCTTCAGAAATCAAAGAGAAAAGTCATAGAAGTTCCGCATCTCCTGAAGTTGAACATCCAGAAGGCAACAATACTGAAAGAGTACCTCCTGATGATGGCCCAATTTCAACTTCTGCATCTGAGTCAGGTCAAGAGAAGGCATTTCCAGGATTTGAAAAGCCAGAAAGTAACAAAATTGATGAAGTAACGCTCTTGACCACTGCATCAAAGTTGGAACAAGAGGAGATTATGATCAGTGATATGATGGAAATGGGTGGCAATGGAGAAAAGACAAACACGAGGAAGTTCAAGAAGAAGAAGAAAGACAATGACTTGCCTCGGAGGTCTTCAAAACGACTTGCTGGAATTGAACCAGAGTTGGTGCCTAATGCCGCGACAAATGACATTCCTCAAGTTTCAAATGGAAGTTCTTTCGCTGAAGTTCGTCCAGATGTTGGCCTAACCGTGAACGCCGATGCAGCTAAGGCATGTCAGCAGCTCAATGTAGGGCCAGAGAGAGACAATGAAGATAATGTATCTAATCTCAAGGACATAGCCTTGAATGGAAACCCCTCTAATAAGAGGAAAACCCCTCTTGAATGCAGCCTAGCTGTCCCAAAAGAGAAAATACGGAGAGTACATACTGAAAAAAGGGGTGATGGAGAGACTGAAGGGGAGCTGAGTGTTCCAATTGCTGATTTTTGGTCAGACCCATGCTTGGAATTCGCAATCAAGACTCTTACAGGCGCATTGCCAGTAGAGAATGCCAGTGCTACCGATGAAGGACCAGTTCCTAATCCAACAGTTGATTTCCTGCTAGAAAAGAGCTTGGTAAAAAATGGGTCGGGAAGTTGCATGAATAAGAAAACTCAAGTAAACAAAAAGACCAAGAACAAGAAAGAGCTCACTTCGGATCATCGATCTCCAAGTATTAATGGGCTGAAACCTGAATTGGCATCAGATGTGACGACCTGTGAGCAAGCAAACCTTCATTCAAATGGAGCCTTTCTGACTTTTAATTTAGCAGACAGTGGAATACATGGAGAACCACAACAAAAGAACGAACAGTGTACAACATCTAGTGAAATCTCGCCAGTTAGAGGGCTGCGTCATCCCCCGCCCGAGGTAAATACCGAACAATCTAACAGGACTGAAGGGCGTAATGAGAACAGAATGGTGCTTCATGATCAGCATCAAAAGCTTCAAACGAAGGACTACACCACATCCGAAACTCCATTAGCCTTTCCATTTGGGGATGCCTGGGCAGACCCATGCTTGGATTTTGCATTCAAGACTCTCACAGGTGCAATACCAATCGAAGATAGTCTAGGAATTCAAAGCTACTTCGAGGAACGGCTCGACTCCTCTCGCAGCCAAAGGGATGGTAGTGCAGCACTGCCAGATTTTGGATCCCCTAGCTTCTTCCAAAATGATATATCGTCCCACTTCGATGGACCAGAAAAATCTGTTTCAGGACAGCACTTGAGTTTAGATCCTCTGCTGACCGTGGGAAATGCGAGTCTACCTAGCTGCAGCGGTTTCGCTTCTCAACAGCAGCCTTGCTTAGATAGAAACAGATATTTCAAGGGAAGGTGAAGTTCTACAGGAAAATTTAGTTTGGGTGTAATAACAGCACAGGTCTTGGGAAGAACAGCTTATCTTTTTCTTCTTTTTAACAAACTGTATCATAATGGATGATCATCAAATCTGGCATTCACATTCAGCAATTCCCAGTTAGAACTCGAACCACTTTGTACCATTTGCCAGAAAATAGAAGAAAACAAATTCCTAATTTTTAACTTGATACAGACAACTAGCACTTTTTGTTTTGAATTGATTGGATGTATTTTCATTTTTTTTTTTTGAGTTAAGATTGGATGTATTTTCTTAATAATTGTATATGATTGATGTATCTGCTTAATATTTGAGGAGTTAATATTGTATATTTGATGCATTATCGGTTTCCTAAGAAATTCCTCATGAGCTGAGTATATATTATTCTTTTTTTCAAGGAAAAACAAAAGGAGAGTTCATTACAAACATTTAAACATAGACAAGAAACCAACAACCTCAACCATCAACATCATTGCAGTTCAGTTTACATAAGAAATATCTCTAATCTCTTAACACAAATAGGATACCAATTCTCTCAAACCATAGAATTAACAACCATGGTGGTGGCTCTCAATCTGTATATGCAGACTGCTTCCATCCACCAAGAGATTCTTCGTCCATATGAAAGCTTCTTGTAGTTCTCTCCTGCAGGTAGAGGATCAAAGGGTTACTTGCATGATTAACATAGTAAATCCTTGTGATACCCCGAAACATGAGCCAAAGTCGTGATCTTATTTGATAATCTTGCAACAATGAAATGAAGTAAAGAATGAGACTGACCTCACGATTAAAAGTAAGGCCAACTTTGATCTCTCCGCGATATTCTTGATCCCTGACAACGTTGTATGCTGTTGCCGGGAGGCTTCCTTCGACGTAAACAGGATCTAGAGGAATGCTGTAATAAAGTAGCAAAATTGAACAGGCATAGAACCAAATATACTACATGATCTAGGATATTTTCTTGCTTTGATGTTTAGAAAGACCGTACTGGGTTTATGTGACGAGATCACGGTTCACAACCATTCATATCAAGCTCAAAAATCCTAACTCGAGAAAACTAAATCCAAGTTTATGATTCAATGAAACAAACCTTGCTTGGTTATCCATTTTTTAGTCGAAGGCTATGCATATATCCATATTACATTTTTTTTCCTTCAATATTAGTATACAACAAAAGATCAACTGAATCCATGCTTTGATTATGGGCAACAATTAAGAGGCATTTTACTTACGTTACTTCGCCGACAACATCATCTTGCGAGCCAGTATCACTGTCAAATATCTTCAAGATGAGCTCTTCTGCACCATCAGATATGGTGAATACGAAATTCTCGTTCCATTCAGGGTCAGATCCCTTTCCTGTATGTTATCGAAAAACATTTCGAGTGTCAAAACACTTCCAAATTCTGAAAAGTTGGAGATGGTGGGGATTTTGAGGATTATGTTGAAGATATATAAAGCCAAAAACCTGATGCAATACTGCTTTTCTGCTCCTGTGAGCGGCAACTAAGAATAACATAAGGATCCATGTTACCTGCTCAAATCCATTGAGAACTTGTTAAACAAGATTTCCCTTGAAATTAAAAAAAAAATCAACTCTATTTTTTTATGGCAACGATAGTTGGATAAGACACTCGTTACTTTTCTTTTCTTGAGGTTGAAGATTTGATTTCCCACCCACTAAAAAAAAAGAAGAGAAAAAAAAATTGGGAAACAAAGTTGTGGCATTATTAACAAGTATGAGGTTAAAAATGATGGTGAACAAGGGAAATGCATTTCATCCCTTCCAAAGATTTATACATACCTTTAAATTATTAGATAAAAGGTGCAAGGTCTTTTAGGTACATTTTATAAAGTCTTTTATCCAATATAATTTTTTGAATTTAAAAAAAAATTAGTTGGAAAGATATTTTAATTGATTCTAGAATTTCATAAATTAAGGTAACAATAAGTTAAAGAATATCATTAAAACTTAGACATCAATAATTAATATTAGTTTTTCTCTCCAATCTATCACCAAATGAATTTCCCAAATCACAAATAGTTCATCAATTTTAAGAACAGGGGAAATAAAAACTTTATGAAAATCCATTTTCCCGAGATTTAACTTTTGCAAATAAAAGCTTCACAACATCTGGCAATGGTGTCCCCTCTTACACAAAAATTGGGGAATCAGATCAGTTCAGGGGAATATCCATTATCCACCACAGCAACACAAATAATATATGAAAACAAAAAGGCAATACCAATACGAATTCCCCTAAAACGACTCCTGTTGTCTCGTTATTTACAAAGTTGACCTTCTAAAATGCATCTCACTAAATTTAGAACTTCACATGCAGATCAATTTCAGGGCCGTCACTATTCCAATATACCAATGATCAAATCAAACACTCAACATTCTGATCGAGTTTCTTTTTCATCCCTTTCCCAGTTACCAAACATATAATCAGAAACAGAATCAGGATCAGAATCTTTGCGATCTTCAACAATCCAACACAAACATCCATAAAAAAATCGGGGAAACGGAAAAATTACACAATAACGAACGAAAAACGGTGAAATTAAGATCAAGGGATGAAGGGCGGAAACTTACAGAGGAAATCAGTGTTCTCGAGGCCCTTGGCGGAAACAAGAAGAACTTCAAGAGTTCCGGCAGGCATTTTTGCGGGAGGAATCGAGATCGCGAAAAGAACAGATCACAAAAGAGAGATTTATGACCCCACCGTCGTTGGATCTCGATCCTTACAGACGATTTGGATTTTTTCAGAAAATTGATTCCTTTCCCAAAATATATATATATAGAGGGAAATCAGACATCGCTCCGCCATTAAAGCCGGGAAACATTATTTATTATTTAATTGTCTTAATTTCTCCAATTGTCCTAAATAAAGTCTTTGTTTTAAAAAATTAATATATATATTTACATCATGTAATAAGATAAAAGGCAAAATATATTTCTTCTTTAAAATTTTAAAATTGCCATTTTTGATACATGAGGTTTGAAAAATAATTTTAAATGGTCATTAAATTTATTTAACTGTTAATCCACTAACATTAAAGTTACATCGATTTTGCAAAATATATTAAATTAATGATATATTTTTTGTACTCTTTTTCTCTCTCTCCATGTTCTCCCCTCCGACCAATAAAAACTATTTCAATTAATAAATAAATATTTTATTCTTAAATAACGTTTGAAGTCTTATTATAAGTATAGTTTATATTCATATGAGTATTTGTTGGTTTATATTTCCTAGGTTTCGTTCCTAATATTTATACCAAAATTGAAAATATCCATTGATCTTTAACATTGATATTGAGCCCTTAACTATATATTAATTTATCTACATTTCGACAAATATGTTTTTGATTTTAGTCCTTAATTATGATGCTTAAGCCCACCCCACCATGCATGACCATCAACTAATTACATTGTATAATTCGTAGCCATTATAGTGCGAGATCCACAATCATCCACTCATCCTAAGAGAGAATATAATCGAAAACTGTCCAAAATTTCTTAAACCTATATGTAAATCTAGTACTGTGTCGTCATAATAATGTCGTTTGGAAAAAAAAAGTTAACTTATTAGGTTAAATATGAACTCAAAATACAAAAACTTGGCAATCAAAGCATGAAATAAAGAAAGAGATAAGAGAGAGAAAAAAAGAGAGCAAATTATAAGGAAATATATATTATGAATTCACATATATCAAACAGTGTATAAAAATGACCATATGATCAGCAATTATTTTGTAGAAATTAAAAAGGAGAGTTTTGAAGCGTTGTTCAGTTATGCAGTGGGTTTGGGCCGGATGGAACTGTGTGGAGAGAGCCTCCATAGACATGGTCATGACCATGTCCAGATGTCTTCTCTTTCATGTACCTCTCTGTAAATTTTCCAAAGAAACGTCGCAAAAACGACGAATCAGCACCGTTGTTCTTGATCCCGACATGGCGAGCAGTTGTAGTACAGGGATGGTGGCTGCAGATAATTGTGAGCATGAGGAAGAAGATGAACAACACTGAAAGCTTCCGATTTTCAGGACCCATTTTTGTTCTCTTTTGAGTGAGAAAATTAGGGTTTTGAAAGTTGGGTGAGGAGTGAGGTTTGAAGAATTCTGTTTAATGGTTCCTGTGTATCACTTCTCATGAACTCCCTACCAAGATTTATGGAGTTTTTAAAATTTAAGTTTCTAAGCAATTATAGAAGCTGTATTTGTATATTCCATATTTCATTGAATTGAACCATTTGGTATGCTCATAATAAAATGGCTAAATATGAGTGTTTTTCCATTCTGGCCCTTGGTATTTTAAAACTTTCCGTTAGCAAAATGAATAAATGTAATATGAAAATATATTTTATTAATTGAATTAAAAGTATTCTGTGTTAATATGGTGAAATATATAGACCTATAGCGTGCTTATTATTCTTTTTTATTACGAGATGTCAATATCGTACGGGCCACCATCCCAATTCTATTATATAAATTTTGGGTAAGTTGCCACTAATCGCTTGAACCCATTTCTTTTAAATTATTTCAAATTTACCTTGGCCAGTCTAGATGGACAAATTCATGATAATTACATGATCTAAATATCATAGAGCAACTAAATACAGTTCAATTCTTTCTTTTTTATTTAATAAATGTAAAGATTGGAGATTTTAATTTTACGGAAGATAATAATAATCTTATTCATCGAACAAATGCTAGATTGGGTAACTGGTTAAGGTACTAATTAATAATTTATAAAGTCTAATTATCTGTTATTGTGAAAGAAGCAAATATGGTTGTGTTGATAATGATATTCATTGAACAAATGGTATATTAAAATTGTAAAGAATTGGTAGTACGTAAAAAAAATTAAAAAGATAAATTAAATGCTTTTTTTTTGGAAGATACAATTTCATTAAGCAAGTATGTAAAAAATATAAATTAATTATTCATAAAAGATTAACTTTGTTTCTGGATAATTTTGATGGTTTTAACTAGGTTAAGTATGGGGTTAATTTGTTGTTATTTCATTAGTACAAATATGGTCTAATATAGTAAAATGAATTCTAGGAAATGTGAAGGATATATATATTTATTAAGTTACGTTAAAGATTTTATATTGGCATTTTAAACGTCGCTATTGAAATTACTCTTATTGTATTTTTTGTTAAGATTCGAGTGATTAGATGACGTAGATTTTAGAATTCAGTGACATTTCCTAGAAATGGTGCCATGAGTCTACCTTGGACGTTTTTTATTCATGCAACTCTTCTATTTTGCAATCTAAAATGAAGAAAAGAAAGAAAGAAAAAAGGTTCTACAGATCGAGAAAATAAATAAGACCTAAGTATTTATTTTGTTGTCCCAAATATTATTATATTGCTTTGCTCATATTCCTCGAAAAGTAGAAGATTTTATATGGTTGGCGTTAATTATATATATTTTATTTGGACAATCAGTTTCTTTATAAATGTATTTAAAATAAATAAATATATTAATATGGTTAGAGTTAATTATATATAATTTATTCTAACAATCATTTTCTTTATAAAATTTCTAGACTTCTTTAAAATAAATTAACATATATTGTTGAGGGAAGTTACAGAGCACTATATTGGAACGATCCTTGTGGGGTGCAATAGGCTCCACTAATTCGAAGTATACTGGCAGATCGCATCGAAATTATGCTAAGTGCACCCAAAAGGTAAGGCTGACCGCACTATATATAGACACCCCCCAAATACAGTTATGAGAGGTGCCAATAAACTCATCCTATGGAGCATCAGACACAATGTCAAGGGCGTACCCTAGATGTCACTGTACCACTCTCGAATATGGTAGAAGAGAGGTACGGAATGTTGGAAGGGGTCTCCACTCTCTCGATTGCTGTTTGCCTCACATTTCTTCTACCTCTCTCTCTCTTCGTATAAAAAGAAGGGGAAAACCCTAATCAAGATAAGCTGAAATTCCAAAACACACTGTCACCCCAAGATAACTACTTTCTTAATATACTTATTCTCCAATATACTCGTTTACTCTCACCTTGAATTATAACTTAAGCATCGGGTGCATTCAGCAAAGCACAACACACCCGTGCTAGTTTTTGTAACTACGATATTTCTACCATTTCGCTAAACTGGAGTGCTTTCATTTAGCCTCCCTCTTTTGTATGTTCCTCACATACCCCTTTTAATGAATGGTTCGATTGGTATCTCTTTCAAAAAAGAAAATATAAACTATATCTGGCTATAAACTTAAGCAACATACGCTTAACAATGGTGATATAAATTATAACCATTGTAACATACACTTAACAATGGTGATATAAACTATAGCCGTTATAACATACACTTATATGAAGATATAACCTATATCTGGCTATAAAGTATATACGACTATATCTCTCTACAATTAACAAACAAAGCAAATAACCTACGAACCTTCTGGTCAGCGACTAGATAATGGTCGAGATAAACGGAGGGCTCAAATGGTCGACGGCCGGCCGGTGACAAAAAAGAAATATTGGGATAAATGGACGGAAACAATGGACGGGCGGCCGGAGACGAAGGAGAAGCTAGACTGATTGTTCCGGCGACGAAGAAGAATGTCGACGGTGGCCGGAGATGAAGGAACACAGACGACGGCCGGAGACGAAAAAATGAACGGAAACATAACAATAGAGAAAGAAGAAAAACCGGAGGAATGAGGTTTTCGAATTTTTTTAATAATGGAAGATTTGGAGGATTTGATATTTTTAACTTTTGGAAAACCTAATTAAGCAAAATTTAAGGGATTTAAAATGTAACCTCCAAATTAACCAATTTTAGATTTTAAAAATTAATTAATATTGAGGTGAGATACAAAACGATATATTAGTAAATTGAGTGATGGATACCATCTTAAATGAGGTTATTTTATGACAAAAGTATAAATTTTATGCATTCAATCATTTTATGTAATTATAGTCTCTAAATAGACCCATTGTAATCTTTCCGTTATAATGGAACCTATATATTGCAGAAGACTAGACGTAGCTTCGAGTTTGGAGCCAACCAGTATATTTTCTGGTGTTTGTATTTCATCAAATAAACTTTAGTTGATAGAAATTAAATGTTCAAAATTTGACATTAAACTGATTTGCATGTCTATGGGCAGTGGTTTTTTTAGTTCTTCAACTCTAAGTTAAGTTCATTAAAAGTTTAAAATAAAAATACTAAATAAACATATAATTCATAAATGTTCTTTTACTATAAGAGTTGTATCTATTTAGCTTATAATAATAATAATAATAATAATAATAATAATAATAATAATAATAAGAGTTGTAGCTATCTAGTTCCTATCATTTAAAAATATTTTAATAGATCCACTCTATACTTGTAATCAACACACCACGTGATCTTTTGAATAATGTAATATAACTAGTATGTCACGCATGTATAAGTGTTCAATTAACAAAGCTAACATGAAAAACCTATTAAAATTAAAATTGAAATTTCAAAGATGTTCCATTAAACATTTATTATAATGTATACTAACAGAATAAACATAAAATTGTAGGTTGAAAGACCTATTATTTATTTATTTATTATTATTATTATTATTATTATTATTATTTTTTACTAATTAGACATAACTATTCTCTTAAAAAAGACATGATTATGAAAGTTTAGGGTTCAAACTTGTAATTTTATCTTAAAAGGACGGTTCCTTCATTTATAGTTAGTAAATTTAAAACCTATTGATTAATTTTTACACAAATTTTGTTAAATGAGAATAATTTAAAA